TCCTCGGGGCTGAGATATACTGTTGTCTGAGGAAATTTCTCGTTTTCCGTTAATGGAGTTGATAAATCCACATTAGAAATTCCCGAAAAATCAATATCCAAAATGCCTCTGTCATTTGGCTTTCTCCAGGGAGAGACCTCTTGATCCTGTGGTTTTACGTCCCTATCGTCATCTGATAACGTTGCGTTCTCTGGCATCTCTCCAATATCTGTATAGATTACTGGAGGTAGTGACGAGAGAGCCGATATTTCCCTTCTCCTGCTTTCTTTTGATCTTTTAGACTTCCCTTTATTTTTTTTCGCTGCAAACCGTAACATAATGTCAATATCAGTATTCTCTAGGCAAATAACACTCATTGCAAAAATGGTGTGCTTACGTCGGAAGTCAAAATCATCCATTGTAAGACGAACCACGGGTATAGAATCAACGTCAACTTCGTTTGTGGCGGACTTTGGTGGACTTTCAGGCTTTGTTCTTTTAGGAGTATCGTAATCTCCAACATCTATATAAAAAGGGTCATTTCTCATGCGTTCTCTTCGCTCTCTTCGACGCTGTAGGGAAAAAGAAAGTCGTCAGTTTCCTCTCTGTAAATGAATAAATACGATGATAAGATTTTAACAAACCTGATCCTTCATTTCTTCACTTTCTTCCTTATCACGATCACCCTTCTGCCGATTTTTTCTTCCACGCCGTCTCCCGACCGCCGTTCCACTGCTCTTTGAAAACACCAAATCGCCACTGCCACCTAATCTTTGCCGGTAACCAAAACCGTAACTTTCTTCCTCGCCACTACTGTTGCTTTCAGACGGTGGGGGTGGTTCGTTAATCCACGCATCAAGATCTAACCCGGCAGGTATAGGAACCTTCTTTTGTGCTTTAGGTGCCACCGGGTTGAGCTCGTAGGCAAAAAACAAATTGTATAGTTCATCGATAACAGCAGGTGCTGTTTCCGACATATCATAATTATCGGTTTTGTCAGTTTGGACAGGAACGTTGCTCGTCAACTGTTCGCGCACTACCGAAATAATTGCCCGTACGTTATGTGCCTGTTGTTAATAAAATAATATCACCGAGAATGTATCATAATAATTTTAGTTTGCAAAGAATGTAAACCAAATTGATGATTACCCGTTCCTGAACCTCTAAATCTGTGCATGAACAAAACATTCCAAATTTCTCGTCAATTAATGTGGTAACTCGAAGTAAATCCTCCTTTGCATCCTCATCCCAGTTGTACGTATGACTTTTCGCCCAATAAGCGTATATTTTAAGAACATTGTGGACATAAACCGCTTGCACACGATGCGAAAGTTTTGTTACACCGGACTGAAGAAGATGCTCTATAGTATCCGAAGGATTAACCTGGTAGCTAGATAATGTGTAGATCATCATTTTAGCAAACTGCTGTCAGGTATCAGCGTGAACAGAATGTGAATCCGAACCTAATAAGTCAGAAAATAAAGCTTCAGATAACCTGCAATATTCTCCAGCCAGCCATGCTGCAGCATACAAGACTTCTGCGTTGGAATCAGGGAGCGAACAATTCTCTAGCAAGGTAACATCCGATAACAATTTGATCTAACAAACCGACAACAAAAAGAAGGAAGTTTGTATAAGTACCTCCGATATCCATCTATGTATCAATCCATAAAGCCCTTACCATTGCTTTAACACAATAATTACGAACGCTCTTCACGCGAACGCACACATCCATGAGCTGACTTGTCAGAAGATCTCCAACTTTGACGCCAGCAACGTAAGTAAGGTCAACCAGTACTGCGACGTACCACTCAAAATTAGTCACGTTGGCATATGAATTCTGGGAGCATATATATATAATACGATGTATGATGTCCGCGCGATAAGCTGGTTCAAGCAGAGTCGATGGAAGTAAATGATTTGTGGCAGAATTCTTGGTATTTGAAGGAGGCAAGAGATGTGACATCAATCGTTTTACAATGTCTGTCAGATTCTTCTTGTTAACCTAGTTAGATTGACCGTAAAATAACAAAGCACTCAATATCAAATACATTTTCACCAAACCGCTATCCCTCGTTTCCCGATCAGCTTACCATCCCAACGACTAAATCTAATGAGCGTAGTCGTATGCTGATGTCGGAATCATCAATGCACTTTAATATTATATCTCGATGTTCTGCGACATGTTTTGGATGTGTCGGAAGAATCTTTGCAAGTGCCAAGAGACCAACGTACTTCACTGTAATAGGCTCGATCAATACGCAGGCATACTATAATAAACAGGAGACAAAAATTCTTATACGTACAATTCTGATCAACGCTTTCCAAGAATGTTCTCAATTTACTGACGCAGACAGCGGCTAGGGCGTCTGATTGTCTGTCCGAATTTAGCATGCCTCCAGTGATTGCAGTATAAATACATTCATATAATAATGACATGGCCGGTGTATTCTCAATCATATGAAATATTTGCGGCGTTAGTTTCTTCGCAAGACGAGGTTCTAGTGGCGCCAAAGCGCCAAACTGT